CAGGGAGTGGAGCTCCCTCTACCTATTCAGTGTTCGCTGCTTCGGCCGACCACTGTCTCTGGTTTGTATTCTGGACAATCCGATGACTGCTTTCGCAGAACAGGGACGCGCGGTCCCTTTTCTGATTCCACGGGGCCGGTGCCGCCCACTGGTACCGCTGCTCTCCCTGGGACTTCTTTTGATCTGGCTTGGACACAGTGACACGTTAGAGGAGATCAACACGCTCTCCCAGTCCCAGCTGGCACCGTCGGCTCCGCCGGAAGAGAGCGAAAGCTCGCCGGCGCTTGCGGAAGGGTGTTCAGCTATACCAGGACTTCGCGATCTTGCGCCACCACCACGGCAGCATGGTCCCGAAGAACAAAGCAGCTTCTGTCCCAGCCAACAAGGGGGGCGGCAAGCAGAAAGCCAAGTCCGAGGCGGTTCAGACCTCGACTATAGACTTCGCGCTACCGCAATCTATGACTGTGGCGTTGCAGAGTATTTCGACCAGGGCCACTCAAGATCTCTGGGCCTCGAATGCCTTCCAGGAAGATTGCTTAACAGCCGAACAAATGGCGCAAAGACGGACAAACAACATGAGCAAACTCTCCAAGCGCTTGGCAGGCAATGTTCGAGCAAAGACAGATATGGCCTCGGCGCTAAGCGGGTGGATGGTACAGATGAGCCAGCATCTATTAGGCCTGGTCGGTCGTGTCCGCGCGATCGGGACCAAGGTCGACGAGGACCTTTCGCTTGCAATACAAGACATGCAAGCCTACCTGGCGACACAGCCTTCCCAGCTTACTGCCGATCAGGTGATGCAAGCAGAACGGGCCATGGGACCTATATGGACATCATTCCAGGAACAAGAAGTGCTGCGACTCGCCTCAATCCTGAAAGCTTTCGGCACAGTACAGGCTCCCGCCCAGGCGGCAGTCGAACCGCAGATGTTCTCTCTACAGCGGCAGGATCCCCAAGTGATGCCGCCAGCGGCCCCTTTCCTGGACTCGAGTGGCCGTCCGATGATCCCTGGCAGGGACCATATAGCTTCCACTGGCATTGCCTTGTCAGGCTCAGCACCTGCTGGTACCTTATCAGTTCTCCGGCCCAGCAATGTCCTAGCAGCGGATCAAACATCGGAAGCCAGCTTTGGTGGAGCCATAGCACTCGATCCCACTCCGGCCACAACCTCAGTGAGGGGTCCACGATGGAAACGCCGCAGTGTTGGCACTGGGGCTAGCCCACGGAGAGAAACGACGGCACTGGACAGTCCTTGGCCTGCAGACGCCACAGGCCGCACTCCGGAAGGGATGCCACGAGAAGCCCACACTCAGATGGAAGACGAGCCCGAGCTGCTCCCCGACCACAACAACAGACCGGCATGCTCCCTATCCTCTTGGTGCCATTATTGGCTTCAGTTGGCATCTTTCGCGGTCGAGCATGGGGCGGACCACGTTGGGGATCTCACCGTGGACGAGGCTCAGAACGCTTTTCTGCCCTTGACGGAGGTCACCGGAGACCCCCATACTGTCGGCTCAGCAGGCCGAACAAACATGGTTGGACCTGCAGATGGCCGTGCGCGGAAAAGACGAGCGCAGTGTGTTTCAGGTATGCCTGGCCCTGCACCAAATGTTGCAGTCTCTCCGTCACACGCCGACTGCATTACCACAGGTCAGGCAAGGTGTCATACTGGCCGCCCATCTTACCCTAGGTGGTTTGCTAGACCCCTACAGCTATGCCCCGGTTACAGCACAAGAATGGCTTTTCCCTGCCCTATTAGCGGAACAGGGAGGACCCTGTCGTGGCTACATAGCTTCCGTGGCATCAACCGCCCCCGAAGTCCAGGGTCTGCTGCAGTACCCGTGCCCCCTAGTAGTCAACATCCCGGACAGTCAGCCAGACAGCGAGGCGTCCCTTCCAGCAGCTACCGACTCCTGAGAGCGCGACACTTTCCAGGACGGTTAGTTATTTCAGCAGCGCCGATGCCCTCCATCACAGGTTCAGGTCCGCAGGCTCCCTCGCTGCCGTGCCTACTGTTCTACTTTCCGTTGTCACTGCTGCATTGAGTTGGGTGGGGTTCGCTAGGGCGCTCTCTTGTATCTTGGGGATGTATAGCCGCCTGCGTATCTCTCGTTATATGCACCACGCACTCTGCACTTCGTTTGGTAAAGGTCACAGGTCTCCAGACGCCGTCCGCATCTCAGGCAAGAGCCCCAGGCATAAACTGCGATATCCTGCCCGGACCTGTCTGTTTCTGTGGTTCCTATGTTTTCCTGCCAACTCTGCCATGCATCTGACGGCAGTTGCGTCGCCTCGGGGCACCATTGCGCTCGACACGCAGCCTGTACCGAATACACGTGATGCTACAGAGGTCATGCCACTCCGCATTATTCACCACCCTGGTGAAACCAGTGACCCGCCCGCCTCTTTGCCGGCACGGGACGTATGCATATTTGATCCACAGGCAGACCAGTGGCCTATCCTCTGCAGAGCCGAGGTACGCATGCAAGGCTGCTTTTTACATAATGCCATTCTTGTCGCCCGCGACAGACACACCAGCCGGTGCTCGCAGATATTTCCACCTCTGCCACACCTGCCTCAGGAGCAATACACCGTCAGTAGTACCCTGCAGCATTGGAGCGAACTTGTCGTTCCGGTTGATCTTAGGCCTCTAGGAGGGGGCATCTCGACGCACTGTCTGCCTTGTACCGCCACCGGGGAAGACGTGATTACTGCTGCTGCAACAACCCAGTGCCTTATTATGCCCCAGCATTACTACTGTCAAGCCGGCACCACAATCATGCACTCAGCTGCACAGGTTTTGCTCATCCATGGAGGTACCTCTGTTAGGGGCCTGTTGCCATCCGATGTCCAGTCCGTCGCCCTTGCACATGCCAGCCCTCCCCCTGCTAACCCCGACGTCGCAGCGCCCTCCTCTGCTGCAGCTCGAACCGTCGCTGTCATCTACCCTGGAGGTATCCTACTACATGATGTTGCTAGTGCCGGCCGGACTGACTCAGATCGAGCCCGCACCATGCGAGAGATTCGAGGCGATCTGGGACTTACTGAACCAGTCTTCTTAAGACCGCAGCTACCTCTCGCAGCCTTACCAAGCACCCAGCTCATCGCTGTCGAATTGGAAGATGTGGATAGGTCTGTCCTAGTGGATTTTAGGGGCATAGGGGGTAGTCTCTCCTTCGCGACTGTTCTTCCCGGCGCTACTTCTGATACTTGTCTGCTGGAAGCCGACTTGCCTACGTATGCCTGGAGTATCCACCAAGCACTGCCGGCACTCCTGCGAGCGGGTTGGCTCAAGATCTGTGACAGTGCTCTGCAGGATCAACACCTATCTAGCCGTCGGGGAATTCGGGTCATCACTGTCGATTGGAAGGTCATTCCTAGAGAATCCCCGCCTGTGCACGACAGCGTCCGGACCCCAGAGGATCTACTGTCTCGTTCCCCGCGGCCTCTGCCGTCGCTGCCTCTTTGGATTTCCGCCACACTAGCCACCAGACACCAGCTGCTAGTTGGAATGCTTTTCTGCTTGTGCTTGTCAAGCAGTGTTCAAGTTCACGCGCACCCTGATGACATATGGCTTGTTCCGGCACCGCCCGCAAGCACTATCTTCCGGGGATCCCTCGAACTTGTCTCGGTTACCACTCATCAGCGCTATGTTAACTTGTTGCACTCGCAACCTGCCGAGGCACTGCCGCCTAGTTCTCACATTGTCGGTCGTTCTGAGAGACTCGGAACCCAGGTTTGTATCCAGGTCTGGACTCCAGATCAAACGCATCAGTTCACTTTGGCCGCTGACGACATGGCTGCGCAGTTGCAGCACCGACTTAGGCTTACGGATCCATCGGGCCAAAGGCGCATACCTGCCCTTGTACTGCCTCAGCTAATGTGGCCATGTATCCAGTTTGTTGCCCCGCATAAAGACCCCGAACTTGTCACCATCCTGGTCGATCTTGGGCACCGAATACACTGCTTTGATGTCACACGACATAGGCTCGCAGCAGACCTCTTTCAGCAACTTCGACAGAAATGTGGGCATGGAGAATTTCGCATTAACCGCGGCCTGGTCGCCTCAGTTCGTCACGGTGAACTTCTGCGTGTCTTCACTGAACAGGTCGCCGAAATCGCCGAGATCGGCCGCATTTCGTTCCATCCTGTTCCCCCTTCTGTTAGCTGGTTGGGAATGGAAGATCAGGTTTATGTAGTAGGACCTTTCCTTGACCTTATAAAAATAACTCCTGCCCCACCCGAACCAGAGGCCAGCATACCAGCAATGCTCCTCTCTGCATATGGGGTGACAGGAGACCTGCGCCGCCTTCCGCTGCTGCCAGCCGGGTATCACTTTCCGGCACCCGTCTTCTGCCTGGTCCCACAAGGCATGTCGTGCCATGTAGTTGTTGTTGCTGATGTTCTGGGGCTTTGGCAACGCCTGGTCATTCAGGCTTCCGTTTTCACCTCCTCGCCTGGGGATGCCTTAGATGACCTCTCGAGCGAGGCACGCCCCTATCACAAGTTCTGGCAAAGAATCCGAGACTCGTTGCCCGTCCTGTACCCCGTGGCGGACCCGGCGCCAGGGCATCCTGCTGTGTCTTTGCTTACAGTCGATTCTCTACGGGCCTATCAATTTGGGTGGAGCTTTAGCCGGATAGATGAACCCGATATCTTGCAGCCCGACTGTAGTACCTGGCCGAGGCACTGTAGGCACTCAGACTAACCCTAGTTATTGGCCTGCGACTGCGGCAGCTGTCGCAGCGTCAGCTGTCCCGCAGCTTCCAGCAGTCCGCTCATGCATCCCTCTGCCTCAGCTCTGTCCTGATGGTCCATATGTGCAATTGGCGTGCCCACGTTTCAACGTGCAATGCCTACTGCCCTGCCTTCCGGGATATAGTCCCTGGGGCCTACGTATCGGACTTGCAGTTTTCGGTGTTTGCACAGCTGAGGTGACATGGCAACACGTGCTCACAATCGCTGAAGCAAACCCGTGGGATCTGTCAGGCATGGAAATTATGGGTGACCACGACCTGTGGACCTGGCCTGACGACATACAAGGACTAGCCGGCCAGTGTGGCCACCTCCTGCAATCCGGGAGCGATCCCTTTCTATGCGCGGCAAGTGCCGAGCTCAGGTCCAACCTACGGCCCGCTCCTCCCACGAACAACAGTTCTCGGCCTCCTGTTCCACCGGACAGCACATCTGGCGTGGCGTACCCATGCGATCGAGGGGCCCTGATTGCCCTAACCACCGTTTGGATACTGCCTCTTTTCCGACTTGACGCCCGACCGTTCACGCTCATTATACTGTCAGTGCTCATTGCACATGCATGGGGCACTTCAGGAGCTACAGAGTTGCCGGACGACGAAGCCAGCGACATTGTCCCTGTACTTAAAAGCACACGCACTTGCACTGTGGCCTGGGGACATGAGCTGTCTTGCCAGACTAACACATTCTCCGTAGAGGCCAGGGATGTTCTTGCTTACATTCGGGAGGTATCGCCTGACCCCCTTGTGCGTGTTCAGTTGTGGACCCCATATCATGGACCAGCTGCCTTCGAGTTCCACAGAGACTCTACTCCCGAGTGCTTTGGCCAATTGCTCACTGCTGCCGGACACACCACCGACAGGGCTCTGGCTGTTGCATATGACACCCTTGGCACCACTCTCGACTTGGTGTCTACTCCTATCGGCCCCACAGTATGGTGGATTGTCCGCGATGGCCTCAGCCGCGAGCTTTTGCGACCTGTAGCCCTATGGACTGAACCCGGTGCTCGCTACGTGATGACGCTCAACTCTCACGGCCAAGCTCAAGCCCTCTCGTGCGCTCCCGAGGTTTCGCGCCTCAGTCAACTGCCCCAGGGTGTGCGGGCAACCGCTACCCTCCCTTTTACACGCACTATTGGTCAGATGTCTGAAAGCGGACTTGTGTTGTATGAGGTCGCCATTGGCACGGTTGCTCGAGCACGAGGTTACGGAATCAGCTGGGCCTTCCTCCTCTTAGGCGCACTAGCTGCTAGGCATCCGGTGCTTGCTACGCACGCCCCGCCTAGCCTTTCATCCCAACAAGACCTTGCTGTGCAAACCCGACAGTATAGGCCCCAGGTCGAACCGGTTGTCTCCAGGATCTGGACATACTCATGTGATGCCCCTGTCGAAGTTCCTTTCGATTCTACGCCTGACCTTACGCGCATGCACCGGCAGGTTGAAGGCACCGGTCGGGGAATTCCCCCCGCAGGTGACTTCGTCTGGACATCGCCGAGGGTTATCCAAGGGAGGGCTCACATCCTACATTTTCCCCCGCGAACGGTGCCGCCCTATGTCTACTGGCTTTTGCACTACCGAGCTAGGGGACATGTTGTCACAGCGTCCGACCTGGCCTTTGATTGGGCCCTAGTCGGAGCCCTAGCCGCCGACGCTTTTGGAGAAGCCTGGTTCGGACAAGGCACCTTCGGCGTTGTTCAGCAAGGGAGGGTAGTACAATATGGAGAGTCCATTGGCATCCCACCCCACGGGGCCATCATACATCTTGTGCGCACATCCCTTCAACCCCGTCTAGGTTATACGGGCTGGGACGCCCCAGCGGATCCTGGCTGCATTATGCCCTTTGACTATGACATATGCTTGGGAGCAAGGGGTAGCCTGCCTATAGTCCTTGATACCCATGGCATTCCTAGAGCCCCGCGCAATTTCGCTCGGCCCTCTAGCGAGGCTGCAACCGCCTCCGAGTCGGAGGCGGCGCAGGTCAGCAGACAACTAGAACGGCAAATTGCTGAGGTCAGCAACAAGTGCTAGTCACTCGGCTTGAAACTGCCGGAGTCTTGCCGGCTCCCGAAGTAGCTCCCTGGGCCACCGAGAGCCCGAATACTGAACCCATAGGTGAGTCTGCTCGGAGCGCGGCTTCTAGACCATCCGGTCATGCACTGCTAGGCTTCGCGGTAGGTTGCCTCACTCTGCTCCACCCTCAGGGGCCTACGCGCCCTCTTTTGGGGAAGCTCATCATAGGCGTGGTCGTATGGCACGGGGTCGGTGTTCTCGCGAAAGATCACGACCACGATAGCTCTTCCGATGCACCGCAACTCTCTGAACCCAGCAGCCCTTCCTTCTTAGAGGACGTTCAAGCACCTACACCCCGCACCAGCCTGTCTGAAGTACCTGGGGAAAGCCCTGTAGTCTTGCCTAGCTCAGACTCGATTGCCTCTACTAGTGTGCCTGACCAAGAGCGCCTCGCCACGCATCCTGCACCTGGAGGGGATCAGCACATTTGCACCTTGCAGCACCGCTTCTCTTGCGCGATACGAGGAGTCCCCCTTAACTGGCGAGCCCTACATTCCGGCAGGTCACCCAGTAATTATGCACAACCCTTTCACCGGCCGCCCCCAATGCCGTCTGCGGACTACAATCCAAGGTACTGCTCGAATATTGTGCAACACTCTCGCCGACTATGCGCAGCGACGAGGCTGGCAACCGGTTGTTGATGTCCAACCGCAGCCTGATAATCAGGCTATTCACCTTATCCCTGCCGCTGAGAGGCACGACTTGGTTTCTGTTCTTCTCGCTGCCGAGGATGGATTACACCCTATGTGCATTAGTCGCTCGTTCCCCAGCAGGAGCTCCAGACCATACCGCTTTGGCAATAGGGAAGGCAGAGTCATTGCTCCTTACCCGACTAGGCGTGTCACTCAGGGTCCAGCCCAGCTTCGTGACGGAGAGTGCCTCCCGGTCAATTTTGGCCCGTTTGGACCTCCACCACCTCAACCTGCGCATGATGCAGCCCATCGACTCGCAACCGGGAGTATGCTCATAGTTGCGGCCCTTCTTCCTCGCTGGCCGGGTACCCTCCTCGGCTGGTTCGTTTTATGTAATATTGCCTGCGGCATGCTCGAGGTAGGGGAAGCCAAGCCTGTTTATCGTGTGTCGGCGTTTCCTTGGCGGCTCCCGCCTCACGAACGTACTGCTCAGGAGGTCTGCGGGAGCAGGCACTGCCGCTTCACTATGCTTTGCCCATGGACGGGCCCACACGGCGTCTATACCACTGATTCACATTCCCCGTTAGAAACCACATGGCAGCGTTACCGATCCGATTTTCCCGGATGGCCTGATCAACAATACATGCCTACATGGCCAGGACTTCGTCACGATAGACTTACGTTAATACCCGTTGCACCTTCTGCTGAGATTGCCTGTGTGGTTGTTCGCCATACTTACCACAGCCGAGCGATAATACTCCCCGCGTGTATATCCCCTTCTCAAATCTCACGTGCCGTCGAACACCTCACCCCGTGGCAACCTGCTGACCTGCGCTTTCCCCCTGCGGTTTATGTCGCATCACTCCGGGCCCCGCCGAACCTTTGCACCTTCGTTCTGGGGATGTGCCCGAAGTCCGGGAGGCGCGAGACGGGCCACAGACCGTTGCTTTCCAACACCAAGATATGTTGCGAGGATATGCCATGTGGACCCAAGGGGTCGGCCTCCTCTGCACCATGCTGATCCGACTATGGGACCCCAACTGGCCTCGACCAATTGTCACGTGGCTCAGCCCTGGAATCGAATGGCAGCCTTCATCGTTGACGTTTTCAGGTTCTTTCCAGGAATCCTACCCTGGCAGGTGGGTGCCGGTTGCTTGGGGCCCCAGCAAGATCCTTCAGTTTGTCAGAGCATCGGACTCGAGACATCGAGTCCATATTCTGGTGGAACAGGATGATCGGACCTTCGTTACCACGCTCGATCCTCGTACCTCTCGTGCATCCATAGCTGTTGCTTTACAGACTCAATCCGATCAGATTCGCGTTATCAGCGTTCCGGCTGACAGCCCTAGCTCGCCGTGCCTTTTGCGTGATGGTGACATAGTAAACTCCCAATCACCGGCCAGTTCGGCTCCTATATATGGGTGGCCAGATGATGATGCAGGAGAGTCGGGGCCCCTCATACAGCTGAGCTGCGCTTTCCTCTTCGGCCGACACCTCAAAGTCCTACCTCTGCTAATGCTTGCGGCACAAGCCACCTTAGCAGTAGCTGTTCGCTCTTCGCAGCCTGACCGATCTCGTTCGAGCAGTCCCGTCTCGGATGCGACATCCAGGGCCAGCCCCCGGCCATCAAGATGGAGGCCAGATCTGCCGCGCCCCTTTACTGAGGTTGCCACTCGATGGTTCGATTACTCCATCTTATGCCCTTTTCAAGGATGGAGCCAGGGAGCCCGATGTCTTGCTGACACTAGCGGAGACACTGTCCAGGCAGCGTTGCAGCGTTGGTGCCAGCAGTGGGCCCCAGCTTATCTAGTGATAGGCAATGTGGAACAGGCAGGCCCTGTCATAGTCATCCCAGGCGGCTTGGCGAGGCTCGCTAGCGTTTTGGTTTTCACCCCTGGGTCCCTCGCTGCCCACCTGGTGCCTCGCGTCATTTCCTTTCGGCGGCTACATGCATTCTTGCGCCGCCTTGTCGCCGGCACACTTCGGATCCGACTTCCCCCAGCCTTGCGGGCTTCGGAACACGGCCCTGATGCCAACATCATCTTGCGCGACGGTGATGCCTTCGAACTCTTCAATGACGCATCGCATACCTCATATCGGCCTGGACAGCAAGCACCTATCATTCCCTTTACCAGCCTACCGCACCATTTTGCGTGGCATACACCTTTTAGGATAGATAAGAGCGGCTGGGTCCGCGTCTGGTCTGCAGAATACCGGGGCGGGCGTGCTAGTGAAAGAGTTTGGGTAGATAGAGGCTCGCAGTGGACTCCACAGTGGTGTCAATTTCAATCGGCACGCTCACTCCCTGGGCCTGACAGGTGGGTCCCGGCTATAGGTGCTGAAGATGATTGTTGTCACTTTGTCCGACAATCCGATTTAGGCCAGGCTCAGGTTCTCCTCCATAATCCCAGCACCAGCACGACCTTCCGCTGCGTGCGGTGCCCATCGGCAGGGGGCGAAGCCTCATACCCGAGCGGCTGGCGACTGCGGGCTGATATTGCCGCCAGGTCCTCAATTCTCCACCTTCGCGACGGTGACATTCTGGTACCCGGAGCCGGACCGTCGCGCCGCCGGGTCCAGTTTCGTGCCCTCCCTTCAGCTACTGTGGCCCTGCTCGGCATGCGGGGTTACATCATCCCGGCCTTGCTCGCCCTTCTGGTTAATCTCCAAGGGGGCGCCTACGGGATGCAGGCCAACCCTGCACCAGGACCCTGTGCTGGCAAGTGCCGAGTCGGCAAGTTCGATTGGAGGATCCCGCCCCATCTGCGGATGTGTAACTTTGCGGTTGAATCCGGCGCCACGGCATGCGCTATATCGCCTTTTGTCGGGCACTCCGACAATGTTAGTGTTGACCCAGACACGAGCCTCGATCAACTTGCTGATGTTTTTCTCAACAACGAGCCGCCATGGGCGTCCGGCATTGTCCCAGTTTGGCCTGCACTGGCTGCACACGTCCTGAGCTTTGTGCTCGAGCCAACCCATCCCAGCATGGCGGTCATTCTAGTCGTGTCTCCCGACTGGCAAGCGTCGTTTCTTGTTCCAAGTCGTGCGGACCCCAGGTGGCTCTTGCGCTACTTGCAAGGGGCCTCCAGATACCCAATTTTTAAACTTCATCCGCCTCTAAATGCGGGGCCGCACGATGCCAGCGCGAATGAAGCCATTGACTGGCGAACGGGAGATATGGTCTTTGCCCAGCCTTGTGAGGGCTTCCCCCACAGCCTCTCACCACCGAGCTTTACCAGTGGCATACACGTGCGCCACAGAGCCATTTGGGGCGTTGACTTTAAGGTTTTGTGCCCTCTCACCATTGTGATATGGCGCCCTGGCCATCCCTACACCAAGACCACTATGCCGCCTGGGGCACATTGGCTCGCTGATAAGCAGACCTTTCAGGGCGAGTTTGAGCAGAGATACCCCGGGTACTGGGTCCCCGTGCCCTGGGCGTACGATGACCGCCCTCATATTTGCCAGAGGCCGAGTAGTCCCGATACCTTACATGTTATTTACGAGCATGTTGATGGACATATACTGCAAGGACAATGCCTACCAATTTCCACGTGGTCCACTCTCGACTCTGTTGCAGGGCAGCTAGGCGTAGCCCCCAATCAGCTTGTCCTTCTCGGTGTCGACAGTCGCCCTGCACATCGGCCATTGCGAGACGGTGACATTCTCCATCATCTCCATCTAGAACCGGGCGACCACTCTGACGCTATATCTCTGACGGCCTCCTTGCCCCTTTTGCTCGCCATAGCTTTCAAGCACCACGCTTCACAGCTCCATACTGTCTTTCTCGCAGCGGGCATATCTTGGCTCATGTGCCAGCCAGCCCGCTCCGCCCCGGCACCGGATGATTTGGATACAAGCGAAGGCAAAACAGGTCCCTACTCAGCTCAATCTATTTCCACTGCCAGCCCCCTCAGGCTAACCGAACCCTGGTGGCGGCAAGGACTTGTTCGCATCAGCCCAGCTCTTCACCCCAGCGAGGACCATTGGGTTCCCAGCTCTCCTTCCCCCCTCTTTGCAACTGTACTTGCCTTAGGATCGCCGGCCCCTGTTGCTCTCCTTCTGCCCAGCCGCATTCCCAAACAGGCACTGTTCTCAGTGATTGCGTACCACTTTCCAGGCACTGCCCACCTCAGTGGCCGCATTCCGACGCTCGCTGAGCATTTTCCCCAAAACACCGAAATTTCGTTGCGCGATGGTGACTCGATAGTTGTGCACGGACGCCGCTGGCGTCCCACCCTACTCCAACGTCAGCCTGCGACTTTTCGCAATCATGCAGCAGCCCGTGTCTACGGGAGCTGGAGCCACCCCCTCTCCTTCCAAAGCGATTGCTGGATCTTGATGTGGCGTCCCGGTGGCGCCCCACCCTCCGCAATTTACGCCGAAGGTCACCAGCATTGGGACCCCGAGGCACGTACGATCCGGCCAGCGTTGGGACTTCTTCCCGACGGCTGGTGGCCCTCCTTACACGGGGGAACCTCCGAAACTGAACCCCTCCACATCGTTAAAGCATCCGGTGACTCGCGTTGCGCCAACATTTTGTACTGGCCCCAACGCTGCTGCCAACGGGTGCATCTTGAAGATTCGGATGCATGGCGGGATGGAGATGTCATCTTTGCCACTTCGTCACGGAACGCAGGGCCCGAGCTGGCATTTGCCAGTCACTCGCCCACTTCTTCAAGCAGTCGCCCTCTGCGGGGCCCCTACCGTTACTTTGCCGCACTTGTTGCCGTTGTCTTTTGGACCTCCTTGACCGGTTCAACATGGTCTGCCCCAGGCGGGCCCTCTTGGGGCATCTGCCTACTGGCCTGCTACCTCTCTGCGTACGGGGCACCGCCCCCAATCGATGTGGCTCCAGCCGTTTGGGAGCGCGACATGTCTGCACCTGCCTGCCTTACTGCTCGTTTACACGAGTACTGGTGGACGCAGCCTCTTTCTGCGCACCTCCCCGCTGGCTCGCCCGCACACTACCAAGCTGCTTGGGCTAGCTTCCCACAGTGGCAGGGCGGCGTACCGAGCAGTCTTCTTATCGCTACTGATGGCAGCGGTGATCATAATGGGGCATGGTCCTTTGTTGCTTGGGGATATTTTCGACACCAATGGTATAAGCTAGGGTGGGTAGCAGCAGCTTTACCCAATACGCCTTGGATCCCAGCTGAGGCGCGACACTGTAGTGGCCGCCTTGCCTCCTTTTACGGTGAACTTGCAGCACTTGAATCGGCTGGCCTCTGGGTCAGCGCCATGCTCGATCTTTGGCAATTGCACACCTCGAGCAGGCCCTCACAGGTAACTGTAGCCGTTGATAACGCCTCTGCGCTCCAAATCGCGGCAGGCCACGGCCGAACCGCCTCGCTTGCCGCGCAGCTCACCCGACAAGCATGGCAAAGCGCCCAGGCTAGGGTCAATACCCATTTCTGTCATGTCCACAGTCATACAGGACATCTAGCCAACTCACTTGCAGATCTACTTGCCGGACAGGCGGCACGGCTCCATCCACAATGCGGCCTGGATTCCTCCGCGGCCCAGCTCGCCGAGATCTCCAACGCTGACCTCGGTCCTTTTGCTCAGCTCTGGCTAATCCCTTCCTGTACCCTTGCACAGGGGACGCCAGTCCTCGTCATTCCCCAGCATGCCAGACAGCCCACATCAGACCCTGAGCTCGAGCCGCAGCAGAAAGAAGAATCAACCTCCCATGCTGGAGCGCCGCCGCGCACCCTCGAGGTCCATATCCTTACTGCCAATGTCCAAACCATCAAAGATGCTCCTATCAGCATCTTCAACCCCTCCGGCCTAGCAGCCCGTCGACAGTATCTCTATCGGCAGGCCCAGCAATGTTCTGCTGACATTCTTTGTCTTCAAGAAACACGCAGCGCGGCAGGTCGATGGAAGGGACCGGGCTTGCTTACATGGCGCTCCGGCGCTGCCAAAGGGCAATACGGATGCGAGGTGTGGGTGAATGCTGCGGTTGTCACGCCCGCTCTAGGCATGCAAGACTGGCGCATACTCCTTGCGACTCCCCGCATTCTAGCCATTACCTGTATCGATCCCCGCTTTCCAGTAACCATCCTGTCAGCACACGCGCCTCATGCTGACAGGCCTGACAGTGAGGCCCGCTCCTTTTGGCAGGAGCTCAGTTCCCTTTTGCGGCGGACACCCGCCCATAGAGCACTCGTCATTGGCATCGATGCCAACGGGGACTTCTATGCCCCAGACGACGACCATGCTCTTATCGGCGAACTGACAGCCTCCGGGGACGCTGCCCGCAACGACGAACTGCTGTTGGAATTCTGCCTTGTGCATGGCTTGGAGGCACCAAGCACCTTCGTCGATGTTCAAAGAGGGCCCGGATGGACTTGGCAACACACTAGCGGGCGTCAAAAAAGAATTGATCACATTCTTTTCCGCCCTGGTCCCTGGCAGCACAGCGTTACTGCCCAAGCCCTAGACTTTGATATTGTTAATGGGACGCGCGATCACGTTGCCATGCGCGCACGCTCCCGTCTATTTGGCCCACGGCCAGCTTCCCAACCCCAACGACCACGACGGGCAACACACGCTGAAGCCCTTCGGATCGGTGCCTCCATCTGGCCGGCCCTGCATCAAACTCCCAAAAACTGGAGTCATCCTGAGGAGATGCTTGCCTGCCTCACCTGGCACTATCATTCTGCAGTCAACGAAATGCCGGCTAGACCCTCTCTTCAGATTCGACAGCCGTATCTTCACGGCACCACGGTTGCCACCCTTGAATACCTTCGGGATTGGAGGGCCCAGTTGCGTGCCCTGCACCGACAGCATCGGACTCTCTATTTGCAAGCCGCATGGGCCGCATGGGTGGGTCATCATGACTCCTTCCACTTCGCTCTCCATCAGCACCGGCTTGTCATTGGATCGTTCTCTCTACAGGAACGCAGGCTGCAACTCAAGGTGCATCGATTATCCCGTCAGGATAAAATCCGGCATTTCGAGCACCTCACCAGCGCTGCAACTGCCGAATGGCATCGTACGGGGCAGCCGCACCAGGCTGTCGTTAATCTTCGTTGGGCATCGAGGCGAGCGGCCGATCGGCGAGCGGTCCAAGCCGCCGGTGGCTACGATATTGACGAGGCCCTCGAGGAGCAATTTCGTGATCAAGAAGGGGGACAACGTGTCACGCCCCAGCAGTTGCACGCTAGGCTGGCCACCTGGGCACGGAACCCCGCCACTCCCTGCCTCACAGCCCTGCCGACTCTCTCCGACCTTGAACAGTGCTGCCTTAAACAAAAGGATGGGAAAGCTCCCGGCCCTGATTCCTTACCTAACGAATTATGGCGTCATTTCCCAGCACATGCGGGCCGCTGGCTCTGGAAAGTATGCACGCACGCCGCGTTGTGTGGGCGCGAGCCCAGACAATTCAAGAAGGCACTACAGTGCGCGTTATATAAACGCGGACCCGCCTCTCTTCCCAGCAACTACCGATCTATCGCACTTCTAAACGGTGTTGCAAAAATTTGGCATTCGCATATCCGCGGCACCGTTGGCGCCAGCCTGTTAGCGACATATGATGACTTTCAGCTAGGCGGTAGAAAACACACTCCAGTCTCATTTGCGGTCGCCACATACAGAACCATCTGGGATCTATGTACACAACAGGGCCGTTGTGCATTCGCCTTATTCGTCGACATACAGGCCGCTTACTATGAAACCAGTCGTCAGCTTCTGTTCAACGGTGATCCCCAGCTGAGCACACCTGACGCCGACCGCTTGCGTCATCTAGCACGTCTGACATCTGAGCTGCTGACAGACGGGGCTTTGTCCCTTCTAGGGATCTCTCCTGCCGAAACTGCGTTATTGCATGACTGTGTTTCCTGTTCCTATTGGCAGATGATAGGATCCGGTAATCTCTTCATCGCCACACGCGGGTCGAGGCCGGGAGACGGCCTAGCTGATATTCTATTCGGCGCCTTGTTTACGGTTGCCCTGCGCCATATTCGGCGCACATGCGCAGCCGAAGGCCTCATGCATGTGAGTGCCGGGGAGCTCATTGGCCGCCCCGCCGAGGTCATCCCGGTCGGCTGGGCCGATGACCTAGCTGTGTTAGCCGACTTTCCCGACCCAGAAACTCTGCAGCTACGATCTCCTCGAGTTGCCGAAATTACCATCAGCACGCTCGAGCACCTTCGCTTCCGAGTTAACCTGGGTAGAGGTAAGACCGAAACCATGATAGATGTCCGCAGCAAAGAAGGTCAGGGGGGATCTTCTCACTGGAGCCTCTTCCCTTGCTCTCCCTGACGAGCGAACTCTTCGCATCTCCCCGGAATACCGGTACCTTGGCGTCATCCAGAAGCCCCGTGACACCGGCCGCCGTGATCAAGAGCTCGCTCTCCAACGTGCCCAGGCTGCCTGGGCACACGCAAGGGGCCTGGTTGGTTCTAACTCCCTCCCATGGGCCCTGCGACACGCATGGATTGCAGGTAGGGTTCTCCCTGCGGCATATGCTACTCTAGCAACCTCTGTTGCAGTGTCTGGACGGGCTACCGCACCACTTGAGGGGTTCTTTGAGCGCGCCACTCGGGCTCTTTCGGCTTCGTGGCAGTATGGACATGTGCTCTCGAAGCCTAGTCTGTATCTCCTTGCCTGCCTTCCCTCCCCTGGTGTTGCTACTATTGTTGCGAGGGCACGTCTTGTTACGCAGCTTTGCAAGCAAGCTCCCCAGCCAGTGTGGGAGATCTTTGAGGCAGGCTGGAACCGTGCCACCACCTTCTGCAGCCTTCTCACTGACGCATGTCAGTGTTTACTGCCGGCTGTCCCAAGTCTCCATGCACAGACTTACGTTACCCTGCAGCTTCTGCGGAGTCACCACAGGGAGTTCCTGAAAGCTTGTCAGCACATCAGCCGATACGGCACCGCGTACAGAGCTTTCTGGGACCTCTGGCAGGATGTTGCGCTTCCACGAAGCAAGAAAGTCATCGGGGCACAAGGGCAGTTTCCATGCCCCCTTTGTCAGCAAGTCCTGCCAAGCCTACATGCCTTGGCTGCCCATACCCACAGAAAACACTCGGTTGTGAATTGCCTCACTCTCTTTACAGCTGGGACAGTATGTTTATGGTGCCATGTCGAGCAACACTCGACGGATCGCCTTAAATATCACCTCCGACGTAATCCAACGTGCGTCCACGGCCTTCGTGTTGTGGTTGGACGCTCGTACACTTACGGATCCGGCACCAAGAGACGCGGCGTTCAGAGTCACAGAGGCCTTCCGCCCATTCGCCTCCCCGGCCCGCAAAATGCCACCCCTGCACAACGCCGCGCCGCACTCATTGGACGGCCGGCCACGCCTGCTGAGCTTTCAGACGAACTGCGATCCGTCACTGGAGTCGAGGAGGTCTACTCTTGGCCAGACCACCCGACTGTGCCGAGTGCTGCTGAAGAACCTTCGGTCTCCTCATTTGCGCCTGTCCCAACCCTACCGTCGAGCACTGTGCCGGTTGAGCCAATTGAGAGCTCCCTGCACTTTTGGTGGATCGCCGACGCTTTCGAGAGTGGGGTCGATCTGCTGCCATCGCCGCTATGGAGTGGGTTAGCTAAGCAGGTTATTTGCTGGGGACTACCGAGCTCGTGGCATCGTTGGTGGCGTCTTTGGCTCGCTGCCGACAGTGCAGCAAACCCCTGGGACTACCGTCAAAGGGCAGTGCTGCGGCCTCTTCGTCCATCGGCACAGCGCAATACTGAGCAGCACAGTCATTTCCTGAAGCAACTAGGGGCCAACACAGTTGCTTTCCGCCAAGTTTGTCTCCAAGTCCTTCATTGCGGACTGCTCTGGCTGCCTGGGGTACCGAGCTCCGCAGGAATACAGCTCCTGCGACGCGTGCTCCCCCATGCACATTTTCAGACTGTCCACACTAGTGCTGGCCCACTTTTCGTTGCCGCACACTCTTCCCGTATAGCAGCTGCGGCCATGCCCGCGTTGCTCTCCATTTCACACTCAGGTCGTTCTTTTCGGTGTACAGGTCGAACCTTACAGCCGCCGCTCGTGTACAGAACCAGGCTGCTGTCTGCCTCATAGGCTGTTCCCACCTTGACCTGTCCTGCTCGTCTGCTCATAGCGAGCCGACTTTTCGAGCCGTGCATGAGTTTTGTATTTAGGCTCTGGACCCTTGGACCGCATTCGCCATGAAGTGAAGTGAAGTTTAGGGTCTGATGGCATCTTATGGCACTACATCCTGCGAATGTCGCCTCGTTGATGTGCCTGACATCGTCGTAGGGGATCGCGGAGAGGTCTCCGCTGTACACCTCACACGGACCCAAAGAGTGCTAGCCAATACCCCTCACTTGAGGAAGATGGCTGACATCCTATAGCACTCCTTATCATCACTGGAAAATCGTCCCATATACAGCTTTAAAACCGCATCTTTGAAACCTTCTGAAACTTAAGGGCCTTGTAGAGACGCTTGAAGTCGCTACCATCGCAGGCTTTTTGAATCCGAACAAATTGTCGATGTATGTTGTACTGTAGCTATATAGAGACTATTATAGCGGAATACGATTATGTACCAGTTTGTCCGAACCCCCATATTGTTGAGATGTGTTGCGGACCTCAAG